CGCCTGTACTTCCCCTAAGATTTGTTTCTTTTTCTAGCAGGTCTTTGCCAAACATGATCATTTCTTCTGTATTCATGATCTCACTTTCATATATCTATGAGACAATTAAAAATACCTTGGCTTGGGTCAGCCCACTTTATTCCTTAAAGTGACATCGTGGTCTTTTTTGCAACAGATTTGCCTGATGCAAATGTGATTTGATTCCTTGACAACTGCTTCCTTGGTATCAGCACCTGTTTTTTTCCCTCCCTCCCTCAAGTAGAAAGAAAATGTTTGGAAAATGATGACGGCAGCATATGTTCAGGTATGCTTGATACAACTGATATGTGGATTGTTAGAAGGGCTGAAAGCCCTCAATAAAATGATTTATTTAAATTTTTAAAAAGATTTATTTTTTCAATTCAAAATGACCAATAGCAGTCCATTTCAGGTCCGTAATGCCTAGAATACTGATCTTTATGTGTTCCATTTGTTTTTGGAGTTGTGCCCCATCAGCCTAGAATACTGATCTTTATGTGTTCCATTTGTTTTTGGAGCTGTGCCCCGTCAGCAAATGAAGGTCCTGAGACCTTTGCTCCATCCGAGTCATTACGGATGACTCTCGGGAGGCAGTTCTTTCCCACTGTATTTTGAGTGCTTTCCTACCTGAGGGGCTCATTGTTCAGCCTGCTGTCAGACAATGCTTCACGGCTATTCTCAGGGTTTTCGGGGGCAAATTTTTCCGAAGTGAAACAGCCTATTCCTTCTTCCTAGTGTGTTCCTACTCTGTAAATTCCACTGAAACCTGGCCACCATGAGCGACCTTTTGGTATTTGAAATACAGGTAGCGTGGATCCCAACATCATAGCCACACATAAGCCACCACAGTTCAACAAAATGACACACGAGTAAGACTTAGGAGGCCGAAAGAGAACAGATTCTGCAGAGATCCTTTTGAACTTTATCCTAAAAACACGGGAAAGCCAAAGAGTTTTAAATCGAGCAGAAAACAAAACCTCAAAGTCCATTCCATTTAGCAATGAGGAAGTCTTTGGTACGAGGCCTCTGGTGATGATTCTCAGCACTGCCTGAACTCACACTTGGCAAAAATGAGACTCTGACTTCACTTTATTCCAAAGTGGATCATGAGGCTATCGCCCCTGAGATATGCACAGTGACTGCTGTAGACCAATAAGAGGCCAGTCCTCGAGTTAGTAAGGAGCCCTGGTGGCGCAGTAAGGTAAGTATGGGACTGCAAACCATGAGGTTGGTAGTTCAAACTCACAAGCTGTTCCAAAAGGAAAAGATGAGGCTGCCTGCTCCCATGAAGACTGACAGTCCCACAAAACCAAACGGAGCAGTCTCCTTTCTTCTCTAGGGGGTCTTTTCATTGGAATCAACTCCCTGGCAGTGTGTTTCCTGAGCTGGAAGTGGGGTCATTAGCATCCAGTGTGCATGACTACTTGCAATGAGGGAGGGGTGAAGTGGTTGCCACTGTGACCACCAGCAATGTCCCCTCCACTCAACCATCCATCCCATGTAAAAGCAGCCCCCAGAATAATCACCCATAATTATTAAAGAGTGTATTATATGCTCTTTTTTGCATATAACTGCTTTTATTAAAAATAAGGTCTGCTAAAAATCTTCAGAAAGTTTACCTTTAAGTTTTCATGTATTTTCATGGTGACTTTTGGTATAAGTGCTCCAATTTATAACACTGAGTTTTCAGGAAACTATGGTTCAATTTGAAGCCACCATTCAGAAATTAAGTCATAAATGGAGGATTGCCTTTTCCTGCAAAGTATTACCTTACAGCCCCAAGCTATTCAGGAGCTGGGAAGGCCATTTTTCCTACATGAAGTCTGTTTTCTTTTCAGTTTTTAATTTTTCCAGAAATAATTTCTCAAGCTCTTTAGTGATGATATACAGGAAATGTCAATCGTCATTGAAGACCTATTCCCAGTGTCCAAGTAATAAAACTGGAGCCCGTGCAAGGAGAGAAGCCCAGATTGGAGCAGGATGGAGAAAGAATAGGTGCGAAAGATAGAAATGGAACTTATGTGGGGATGAGGGGCTAGATAAAAGGAATTGTAAGCTCCCACAAGCAGGAGTGGTTTTAATATCTTGAGAGCTTAGTTGCAAACAACTCAATCGCATGGAAAAACCTGTATGTTGTGAAGAACGTATGCATGTAGTGCCATATTTAGATTTCTGTCCAGTTATATGAATACTTTGCCCTACCTGCTTTGTTTACTAATTCACAATCACACACACACACACACACACACAGCTACTATGGTGAATCAGCGCTATTTCTAATCAAGAATAAGAATGAAAATGAAGTCATTTGTGCCCTATGATTTTTGAATTGGGAAAATCAGATGTGAGAGCAAACAGCATGTGTTTCACTGGAGGGAAGTGGGGAGGGAGCCAGACGATTGTTTTCACAAATTTGCATGACTACATGGTACCTTGGATTTTGAAAAATCACTGCATTGCCCAATAGAATAATAAACTGCCCAATCGTGCCGCCGCTTGAAAATAAACAGAGAGGAGTCGGAGCATCAATAACTCTACAATGAAACAGGGAGACTACTCAGGACTTGGACGGCTACATATTGCAGGGGTTCCGCTTCCCCAAGCGGGTCTGTGAGTGATGAGGTACAGATGCATAAATCATGTGGGCAGAGAGGAGTTCATTTATATGACTGAGTCTGCACTGTATCCACATGTGGCTGAACAAACTGAACTCAGACTGTGAAGTTTACAATATTTCTTTCCCTATCCCTGGATTGTTTTCATCAGAAACGCCAATGACGCATACATTGGGGAGCAACGAACGTGGTTCTCTGAAAGACAGGAAAATACGCTACATAACATAATGGCTCTGATTTTTGCTTGTCCTTAGGATCTAAAATAACTTGAGTTAAAGATAATTCAGTTTAAATTATGATGAGATGTTTACATCATTGACTGAATAACGATAATCCATGTATCTCTGTGTTTGTAAAATGTTCATTAGAAAAATCAAAA